AATCGACCGATGTAAGGCTGTAAGGACGATGTAAGGCTTGGTTGGCCTAGGTAGATCAATCCGGGACTCGAACCCATAGCTATGCGTGTGTGATAGTGCGTCACCTCCTACTACAACACGTCCGCCCTGAAAATTATGGTTTTTAGTAATCAACTGATTCTCGAAAGCATATCCTACAATAAAAATTATTTCCGATATATCGCTCTAGGATGAATCTGTAACCCTTCAGTATGCCAATGTAGCGCTGTCACATGGAAAAACGGGTTCGATAGGTCGCATTAAGTGCTCAAGTATTGTATCCATTGCACACCCCGCCCATACGGGCCGTGTTGCAAAGGTCTTGGAGAGGCTGCACGATTCATAATGAAGCACAGATGTTGAAAATTTGAACAACTGCTCGTAATCCGCGGTGAAAGTGAATGGCAATTTTGACATTTCGTCAAGAATTCTTTTGGAGTTAAGAAAAAGGAGCATTCGCAGCTCGTCACACTCCCTTCCATGTCTGTTTTAAGCAAGTCTTTTGGTAGGTTTTCCGAAAGAAATAGCCAAGACGTCATTGGTATCCGGCTCCACACAATGGACAACTAACGATCTCTTCACAGCGAAAGATGCAGGCTCAGTTCAGTTGGATTTACACAAAATCATTTACCATAATCCGTGAAAATAGGTAAACCCTCATATGCCACTACTATGGTTTGGTAATACTACCTTATCCGAGGTGGTATTACCACACGTGAGGCAAGGTTAAGTTATACTTGTATTGTAGTCAGTGATTTTTTTATGAACCCTTACGTAACTGAATCGAAGGACAGATTCTACTTTGACTTGAACTCGAGTTCACAAACCATTTGGAAACTAGCAGGCTATTCTTTAATTAGCCTTCCGAAAGGCATCTTTTCAAACGATTTTTTTGAAGGAGCATTTTCGAAACTAACAGCTCCTAATCATGCGTTCTGTAACCATAAGCAAGTCGATGCCCGGTTAAAACCATTCAATGAAGTTTCAGTTCCCTGTTTTCGAATAGAAATCGGAATCCAATCTGACTATGAAATAGCTGAAGGTCACCGCAACCGTTGAAGGTTGTATTATTGATCTAGATATGTTCTCAAGTGTGAAAATTTCGGTCAAGAATATCTAAAGACAAAGATAAGGACTGTCCGGGTCCGCAATCATCTTCTTATTCTTCTGCCCTTCCTGGTCGGGTCTACGTTCGAAAAACTTGGACTCCACCCAGCCGGGATGAGCATTCAGTCAGCGCCAATCGAAGGGCTAGGGAAAGGACAAATGCTGAAAGTTTCCTGCAAAGTTTCCCGCAACACGCACAAGTGAAAGGGAATTCGGACGTGCGGACGTAGTTCCAGGCTCAAAACGAACGAACGAAGATCAGGGACTCCACTGCACACGTCAGGGAGCAGAAAATCACTTGAGTCACGCGATTTCGCGGTGACCGTTGGACCTGGCGGTTGCTGAGTGGATCCCTCCGGAAGCCGAATGATGATCGAACTTCATCACGAATGTTCTAAACTAGGGAACAGCTTGCATAGGGTCACTCGAGCGATTGCTGGAATGGGTTCGTGAGGGGAACGGATGGAGGCGTTACTTGCGCTCGCTCAACGACAGGTTAAACAGTAAAATATTAATTTGGGAGCGTTTTGCCTTTAAAATACTCCTGATTCTGATACCTTAAATCGAAAACTGTCCCTTACGTAAAAGGGTGTCTGCTAAAGCTTCAGACATTACAATGTCGGCGGAAGGTGCTAGACGAATCTTGAGTTTTTGAGAGAACAAATGGACAAATCCTCAGGTTCTAGACATTAAAGCAGCATCATCGATGACGCTTATTACGCAAATAGTAGTTGAACACATTCAATATTGCCATGACTATGCTGGTACCGTATCTTGCTTGCTTCACTTATCAGATTCGCACTTCCGAAGCGATACTGTAACCGAACCTTATTATGATTCACACAAATGAATTGCGCTATGTAACTTTAGAATGCAAGACAGAAAGAGTGAACTCACGAGGATGGCTGGTTACGAACAAAACTTTGTTTCGGATGGAACCGAACCCACAACTCACCATCTTTATGAGAATTTCGCATCACAGACTGCGGCCAAATAACAGAAGTCAACAAGAACATCATGTCAGAAAAGGGTGAACTCAACCTCTCCTTAAAATCCTCATGGTTCCCACCTCTACCCTTCTCTTCTCGAATGTGCGACAACTACAAGCAGCACATCTGCCGAACATGTTCTTTCAAGGAATTCAACTCCTCGTGCCAATTTACTACAACTCCATTTCTACCCAGCCCGCACACCAAATATATCGAATGTCCGCCATGACAAACCTTTAGAAGTTCATTTCACCAAAAGTCGCCCAACTATACCGGCCCATTATAGTCTGATTCATCACTCTACAGGTAATGATCACAACGGAGCGTTTGCCCACATATTTCGCTAACAAGGTGAGCAATATCAAGGTGGACTCTTCCAATTTTCAAGTTCACGTGATTCATAATTCTAGCAATTATGAATTTTCATGTCACCGCAATGAATCCATCAAGATCAGCATTGTGAGGATTCTCCCCAATCTTCACACAAACCTGACTAAATTCAATGGATTCCAAAAATACATCTTAAGTATCATGGAGAGAAAACTAACTCAAAAGCATCTACAGTACCAACTGCCGTATGTCTTTCGAGGCGACGACAACTCGTAGCAGAAGAGGCCTAGAGTACCAGTAAGGTTCTACCCTTTCTCATCAGTGGACTTTCGAAAGATCTGCGGAGGGCAAATGATAGCGTAAATATAGCAACCTGGTTCATTTGCAGAATAGCAGCATTTGCCAGAAGTGAACTGGGGAAAGAGGGGGTTTGTTCTCATACTGGAGAAGATCCTGGCTCCCCGTAGAACTGCAAGAACTGGCAAAACCTCTCAGGAAAACGTTCTCATCCCAAGGCCGCACTAGGGAGACCACGAGGCTACGAAGTTCAAATAACATAGCTTCAGTTCAACGTATCTAATTCACCTTCACGCCTGTAGTATTCAATGAATTCAACGATCAATCACTATCAACTCGAACAAAGTTATATTTAGAAATTTCATCATTGAAAGCTACATAAAAACTAAGCGTACATAAGACGAATCACGACTTTTAAACATTAAGAATCTTGTCCGCGAAGAAATACGCTCAATACACACAACAACTAGATAGAGTGGTGATGAACACACATCACACTACATCATGATATGAGGACAGTAGATTGGCAGACCAAAATTGCCGAGATTCCAAGAAATCTGATAAGAAAAATAATAATAGCAAAAGAAGCCGCTACGCAGTTATTATTATGAGATCAATAGGCATGGAATGTATGAGGTTTTACAATAAATAATTGTAGATGTAGGGATGTAGATAGGGAGGGATCAGAGCGATACAATAACTGCATGAACCGGATTAAATTCAGTGATTACGTTGAACGACAACAGGTTGGTTAAAAGATGATCAAAATTTTCAAATCTAACAACTTTTTTTTTGAATTTTTTGGGAATACATATCACTATACATTCAGAAAAATTGGTATCAGCTGTGCAAAAATATATAAGTATATGAGATCACTGCACACCGACATTTCAGCTCGACACGACTTTGGCAGTAACACATCTAGATCCACTAACACACATACACATAGAAACACTGAGGAAATCATTAAATATAGGCATCACGGAAAACAATGAGAAGGAAAACGAACAGCATAAAACCTTTAAATAATAAAAGAACATTGCCAAAACCGCAAGTATGAAAGAGAGTCGTCAAACAAAGTTAAGCCCAATCCACAAAAATGAAGGGATCAAGGGATGAGGTTATTTTGTTAATAGTCGTAAGTAGAAGTAGGTATAAGAAACTCATAACACAACGAGATAGTCATAAGTGGGAGAATAAGGAGTAAACAAATAAAACGATACCATAGCAGTAAATAACTGATTAATTCCCGATTTAAAGGAACGTTCCCCATTTTTCGAGAAGTTCAGCCTTCAGCTCCGCATCCATCTTCTTGTACTGCTCATCAGAGGCGAGTGATCTGTAATCAGGTTCCTATAGAAGGATAGCGTTAATGAGATGGACTGAGACGCTGAAAAATATCGTCACCTGAAAACATCAATCGAAATTGTATCGAAAAGACGCTGCTTGATGGACGAAAGCTTGAGCTGCTCAGCTAAGCGTATAGCGTGCATTACCGAGATTTGAGGCAGCTGAAACAATATAAATAGAGTAAAATACGAGGAGAAATACTCGAAATCTTTGAAGGCGACAATCACATGTTGAAATTTTTAATTTCAACAAGTTTCTGAAAGATCAGAATACTGCTCCCCAGAAGCTCGAAAATAATAATAAAAAAATGAAAAAATCGGATAATTATAGGAAATATTAAATTTAATGTTTCAAGCGCTATCTACATCAAGCGCAAACTTCTTTGCAGCTTTTAAAAGGTGTGAAGAGAACCACAAAAAGTGTGATACGTCAAGAACATAAAAAAGCGCATCGAATAGACAATGCTCTCAGCAAAAAGCTAAGCCGTGCCGCAGTTGCGACAACAATCTCTAACAATTGATTGCTGAAAGTAGTGATGAATGAGTTGTCACGTTCTGTCAGAACCCCACATCGACAAATGAGTGGCTAGTTCTAAAAGCCATTTGCCCAATGCCAGAGAATTGCATGAGCTTACTGGGNTTACCATTATCAGTTCGTTTCTCCACACTTGACTCTTCCTAATTCAATTCATGCTTCTAAGAGAAGCCTGTACCACATAATCAAGAGACAAATTTTTTGTTGCAATCCTTTTGCAGTGCTATTATTGGTTGAGGAAAACTACAATAGAGAATTCAAGAACGACTTCAAAGCTAACCTGCTCAGCGATGTATCTTTCACAACTGTCAAAAACAGTGCTGAATTTGAGCCGATTAGCCAATACCACCACAGCATCGATGTTGTACTCTGAAAATTCAGATCATTCATAAGAGGTAGACAACAACCCAACACCAAAAAAGAGCAATATATCATCTGAGAAAACAATCGGATTAGTAATTGATGGTAATATAATCTAGTAAACAATATCCGACTTTTTACCGACTATTTGAAACTCGATCATTAGTGAGCTAGTGGCTCACAGCAGGCTTCATAGGAACTCACATTATCGTCGCTACAATAAAACGCCGAGTCTGAACAGAACTTCTACGAGGTTTACTGAAGGACTTACGATTTAGATTGTTAGGATTGTTGTACACATCCAACAGCGACTGGAAATGCATTGGATCAAGTTCCAGTCTCAATTCTCCTTTTGATGGATCATGCATAGCGAATAGTTGAGCGAAATAGGCTGAAGCACGAGATAGGGCCGATCTTGATAGTAGGAACAGAGTATGGCCAACTTGTACGCTTGTCTCGTCATTAACAGCGGGCTCAGGTCTGGAAAATCTCATCCATAACGCGAAAATGTGAAAGAATTGTAAAAGGAACTTACGGTTCTCTGGCTGGAGAAGCTCCTTTTCCTTTTACAGGGCACGATTCGCGACGATGCCTTTCCAGATTCCATTCAGACGAGTAAAACTTTCCACATGACTGAAAACCGTGATCCACTATTGGGTAAGCGTTTTGCAGAAAACTTGTCCACGTTATCAGTTTTTTGCTTATATGCATGAAACAACCAGGTACTTATAATCTGTTGTTTATTTTCGTATCAATACTCGTACTTGCAAACGACAATAAAGAGACCAGATACGAAAAACCTGAAGCTAAAGCTCGAATACCGACTGATAATGGAATTATGTAAAGCCTGACAATAACGTTACAGACTCTAGAACACTACCACATAACAACAGTACCGATTTGGAGGAAAGTCAATCACTGCGCCAAGCGCATAAGGTTACTGTATTAAGAGAAAAGAGCCGTGCGGAAACCGTACGTACGCTAAACGAAACGAATACAACAGACAACTTAAGAGTGAAGAAATTAGTAAGATCGATACCAAGAATTCAGCCAGGATTGCGCTGCAATTAGATGGTCACGTTTTCCTTAACCAAAAACTGTGGTCATTCAGCTGACTGAATAATTGATTTCGATAAAAATAGCAGAAACACAAATAACTACAATAAATCTGGAATAAGAAAATTTTCAAGACTGCAATCACATCACACTGTACCCAAGAAGAAACGGCGTGATATGCACAGTGACTAAAGAAATTTGTGCAGGATGAGAGAAGTCTGAGAGAAGTTCAGATCATCTCGTTCGATTGGGAAATGCAACGAGCACTACGGCTAGAATCACATTCCATGCTAGCATTCGCTGCAGCAACAATCGATATCGAATCCTCGTAACCGGTTAACTAAACCACAAACTTCACAATGCCATGCTACCACCACCGCCACCACCAACACAATCACAATGCCACAACACCTCAACCAAAGCAATTCAAAGAACAATATTGCTCCCAGTAAAATGATCTATAATGAAGCCGCAATGCAATTTATAATTATCTCGATTTCTATAATAGCTTCGGCTCAAGTTCGGTTTATTCGGCTGGAAATGATACCTCACGTTCAATTATTAAAGTACCAGCACAAAAAAACCCGGTGAGTGCAAAAAAAAACATTTTCTCAGAATATATGCCCAATTATGTAACAAGTATGTAGAACTAGGCCCAATTTTTGGCAGCAAAACTTTTCACCCGAAAAAAATTCTGTCTGCTTCTCGTTGCAGCTTACCGGCACCTGGGTTCAATGGATATCAGCAAAACCAGCAATCCTCTTACAAGAAAAGCTCTCCTAAGCTTCCGGATACAATATATCCACAATTATTTCAGTGCTACAGAAAAAAGGTAGTGAAACGATTCCAGAACGCACACGAATACTACAACATTTTCGGAGAATAAAGAACAAGTCCATTGATTCAAACCTGATAACACCACTGAAAACTGTCAAATACTGCAGTATCTACCTGACAAAGATGTTTGTGTTGTTGGGAACGGGATGTGTGGCCGCTCTGCAAATTTACTTCACCGGAATTAGCGCGTTTTCGAGTATATTGGAGACAACCGGGTTGTGAGTTCTCCGGTGGAGTGGCTAAAATTCCTGGAGATGTCGAACGATCGAGCCTGGAACTCACCTTTTCACTTCACAAAACTCCTACTTCTAACATTGCAACAGAAAAGCAGTGAAAAACAACTCACCTCTGACTGGTGGTCGAGTCTGGAACATCATCTGTTTTCCGCAGAGAATGACGCTCGTACCATTCATCAACGGCAGATCCTGAACCTGATCCGCTCAACGACGACGTGCGACTGAATTGCATACCCTGCTGGTGCAAAGGAGTGGAAAGTGCAACGTGGCTCAACATCGGGTCCGACATCCCCATCGAATCCTGAACCAGTAAAGTAACGTCGGAGAGTTTTTTCCCAGAAATCAAAATATTACCGAGTTTCGGTCATTTCCAATACACGCACTGCCAAGCATAACATCTTGGAGATGTAAAGGTTCCTCGCTAAGAGAAGTTGTATTAGTGTTGGAATTCCCCGATGCAGGTGCAGAATGATTGGCACTGTTTGCACGAGCCTCAACGCAAGTGAGCCGATGACGCCGTAAAGAGTAATCGGAAGACAGAACACTAAAAAGCCGACTATCGGGTAAGAATTTGTACCTTATTTTCGATACTTAACTTTTTTTGGGTACTACTAAATCAAATCAAACCGTTGGCAACGCAAAAATTGAATCGAAAACATACCGATTACAATCCACACAAACATGGGGAGGTCTCTTATTTACACGAGTTGTAGGCAGGCTTGGTTGAGGAGCCGATCTAGCGACATGCGGAACTTCCATTGGCGCTGCTATAATCACGTTTGTAATTAACAATATGGTGAGCAGCTTTCCATCAAATTCTTTGAAAGCTTCATAGTCAACGTGTTTCATTACCGCATTGAATTCTCAGGAGGAGCAGTTTGCACGACAACTAACAAGAAATGAGTTGAGTTTTAAAAAAATCCGTGCTATACCCACGAACATACTACTATATATGGAAATGAAAACGAATTAAAACCAATTACACACATTTCTGGTCCATCCAGGAATTCATTTGAGGATTAGGAGCCGAATTTGGATGGAACTGTCCAGGAACAGAAGACGTCAAAGACTGCATTCTAGCAGAGTCATGTATGTGTGAAGAGCTGAAATTACTGCTTTCGTGGAAAGCTGATTTGCACCTGGATAGTGAATTCCCTCCTTTCGCTTCTCACCTTGGCTCACTTTCCTCATGGAACGTTGTGTCAGCTTCAGCTAATTCAGTACGAGGTTTTTTTCCTTCAATCTCAGCCATCTTGAAAATAAGCGCTAATGAGTTCTTACAAGAAGATTAATGAAAAACTAGAGTCATACCTCCTGTTCAGCACTTCTTTTCAATTCAGCTGCAATCCTCGCAGTTTCGGCACTCTCCTCATCATCCACATACTCTCTAGTTCTAGACCAGCCGCTTTCCATGTGTGAGTTTTGCATTTGCTGAGGACTCATCCATGGGTTATTGACCTAAACAGAATAAAATGGTCTCGAAGGTCTTACTCTTTCTTTGCTCAGTAAGACGCACCCTATCCTGATATCCTGGCTGTTGAACAATCTGCTGGGGAGATCCTAGCATATGCCCGTCAGATTTGTAGTCACTTCTCGCCATTGGCATGCGGTTCGTGACTTGTTGTCCCAGAGATGGAAGAGGTGGTGAGTCACCCATACTGCCCACCGATTGTGCAGCGCTCATTGGTCGTGAAACTTCTTCAGCTGATAATTTGTGTACTGCCATGCGATGACGCTTTACGTTCTTGCGACATGAATAACTAAATTACGCTGGGTACTGTAAAGTATTGGAATGATTATTTCACCATCACTCACGTTTTCATACATTCTGGACACTGAAACTCCGAAGTGAGCGGCGCCGATTGGCGACTAGACGTTAATATGCTCCCGGGGCCTAACGATGGAACACTTGTCTGAATAGCATCCGAACTGCGACGCTCATTAACGTCGCGACACGTTCCGAATGAGTTGAGGCGTTCACTGGAATAAAATGGTTCAATTACAGTTAAAGCTGAAGGACCTCTGTTGCGTAGCCCAAAAACCTCACCTCGGCAATGGCTGTGTTGTTATTATGCTCTCAAGCGGAGTGATAGGCGCAGATGAGCACTGGACAGATTGCGATCCTGCGCCTGACTTGACGCTGAAAACGAATAATGATCAAATCTGTAATGGGATATGCAGTAACAATAAACCTACTCATAAATCGGCTTCTGCTCGACGGTCGATGAGCAGCGCATAACTGTTGCGGGCTGTGCGTTCATTGGGAGACGGGAAATAACGTTTGTGCATTTGTACAAGGTTGTAGACGACTTTCGCTCTACCATTTGTGGGGGCTCCTGCGTAGTACGCTTTTCTTCGCTTGCACCTTCGGGCTCCTCAGTCTGTTGTTCATCGCATGGCTTAAAAATAAGTAGTATATGATAAGCAAAGCTGTCCTAATAGATTCTATCGATCCCGATACTTTTTTGTAGGAAGGTGAGTTGCCCCATTCCCTAAGCTTTCTTGAACGAAGAATGGGCACAATTTCCAACCAACTAAGCAAATGAAATGTTGTAATCAAATAAACTGAATCGAATCCTTACCGTTTCGTTGTTGTTATTATTGACACTTTTATTAGCATCCTCCTTCTCGAACTTCTCCACTGCCGGTGGCGCTGCTGCTGCCATTGCGTTTTGGTTTTGCTGATTTTGCGCTTCTAGCACCTTTTGCTGCATATGTTGCGCACGCAAATGTTCACCAACAGTTATCTATAAGTGGATGAGTTTCGATCGTGCTAGAAAGAAAAAAAAAGGTGAATTGTTTATAAAGGAAAGGCGAGACACTGACCCATGGCCTTTCTCCTACAATACCCTGATCCTGTACAATGACGAAAGTCCCAGAATTATCTGACGTTGTTCGAGAGATCCTCTGCGGCTGCTGCTGAGAAACATGTTGGTGTGCTTCCTGACTAGCTGCCAAAGCAGCTGCGTACGATCGGTCAATGATCATTCTCTCTCGTGCAGCTATCTCTACTGGTTGCCATTTCTTAAAAAGAAAATTTCGAAAAGAAAACTGTTTTTTGAACCAAGGAAAAACTTGGGAGTCATTCAATTTCGAATGTAATAGAAATTGAATAGCTCGCAAGTCCTCTATTGGCTTAACTTCGGTAGCAAGCATTGCTTCCGTTGTAATATTCTTTTGTAGTTCAAGGTTTTTGGGTGAAATTATTTATTAAGTTAATGGCCAAACGTTTCGACGTAATCGTCGTCTTCCTAGGCCAGGTTTCCACCGTTAAACGAACAGAAGAAGGTGATGTTACCTACGACTATCAGTAACGACATCGAAAACTCTCCGTTTTAACGGTAGTTCCCTGGTCTCTGAAGACGACGACTATGTCGAAAGCTTAGGGCGTTGACATCGAACGCCAGAATGTAAAGCAATAAGTTGGATTTCCTTACCTGTTGCTGAACTGGCTTAGACACTGGAGAAACAACTCCACCATTTTTGGAATTTTGCCTGGAATTTTGAACTTTGTAACAAAGAAAGGGGGTTAAAAAAGTCAAAAGAACCCCACTTTTGCATGACAATCTTGCATGTGGCGCGATGACGTTTTAAATTGCTCGCCGAACACAACTGCCGGTTACAATCTTCGCATGTGTTGTTGTTTGCAGCCAGCTTCGGAGCGCTAAATCGGCGAATAAGTTTATGCCAATATAACCTGTTATCAATTTATAACACAATGAGCGAGTTTTAACCATATAATCAACTTATTAACTTCACTTAGAATCACCACATGTCGAACCAGATTGTATGTTTTAGTTTTGCGTGCCAAGGCAAGAATCATACGGTATCAGAATAGGGCACTTCAGTAGTATCAAGAGCCCTTGATAGAATGCTTTTGAGAAGCTTTTTCAATACAATAAACCTTCGACCCTTGACTACTCACAGTTAACTAAAATATCCAGTTTATTAGGGAAGTTGCTACATCACGTAGCAAATAAGCCTCGAACTTAGCCCCTCCTTTGCTACGCTAGTTAAACGAAAAATTCAGTTTTACCATGAGCAAGCGCCAAGAACGCGACAGAGATAGTTATTTTCGGGTATAAAGTGTTCAAAATGTTCAATTAGTACTAGTACCTACTATGTACTACATCGCTATAGTACGTCTCTAGACTAGCAAGTTACTGTATTTTAATCTGAAGTGCGCATAGCATTCATACCATGAGGTATCAGAGTTGCGCGCACTTTCAATAAATAAAGAAGAACATTGCGATAAGCACAAAAATTGAATCAACAAAATGAGCACAGCGCAACTGCCCTACTAAATACCTAAGGAAATGAATGCATAACTTTCCCAAATTGAGCTGTGTGGAACCAGTTTTTCATATCAACTCTCCAATGATTTTAGCCAGGGCTGATTCACCGAGAAATGCTAAATATCTCCATAGAGTATTGGAGGATTGACTACTTCAACTCGGACTACATCCACCAATGTTCTACGGTTTCGTACGTATGCGCTTCGTCGCCCGTCCAACTAGGTCACGCCGCAGCCGTCGCACGCGGCGCGATTCTTGACAGATGCAGCAGTTGTCGGTGAGGCATACGATTAGCGTTTGGTCTACGGCAG